ACAACTCTTTACACTTGAACCTTTTTTACTTTTTTGTCCCTATTTACGTCAACAAGGATCCAGAAATGAAATAATGATGAATGTCATGTAGATGAGCATGTTTTGAAGGAGCACTCTAACTTGGCGTTGTTTCCATTTACATTATCATGAGTTTCAGTTTCACAGAAATGCAAATCCTGTTGTCAGCACATGATGTTGTCCTCACGCCATCATGATCAAAGAAATTTTAAAACGACTGCAGCCTCACCCAAACATGCCAGCAGGTTATATAAATACATACACTTTCCTTTGAGCTCAGTAAGGTCTCACATCTGACACAGAAGGCTCACTCACTCACTCCCAAAGCTAAGATGGAAGAACTTTGTGAGTATACTTATGTCTTTGACAATACTGTAATTTGATAATACTGTTCAACTTAATATTCCTCAGCAAATATTTGCTCAGGGCAGCTCAGCGCGAATTACATGTTTTTGCCTTCTGTCTGTGTTTTATGAACAGGTAAGGCCTTCGTTGCGGCCACAGGTGAGACCAATCTGAATCACCACAGCACACATATCAAATATGTAAACCTCTAAATTTCAAAATCCTCTAGCCGTACTTTAGTCATCAGGGAAATTGTTTCCTCTGCTGTGTTCTCTCCCAGGAGGTGCAACGGTTGTGATCCTGACTCCTGTTATCCTGGCTGCTATGGGTTACACCTCACTAACAGCAATAGTGGCAATTATTGTTGCTGCAATTGCTAATGGAGATCTGATAGCAGCATTAGGAAGTCTAATGGGAATCCTGTGGCCATTTGGTAAACTGAATATTTAATTTATAAATTTTTCAGTCAATGCAAATATCTTGGAAAGGTGCGTTAAAAAAACAAATAAGCATGTTTGTATAGTAGACACCGGCAGCCTGAGCACTGAGATAAAAGGTATCAGCGAGGCTCATTGAACATCTATGTATAAATCAAGTTTCAATGAGCAAATTGATTATTAATGTGCAGTAATAAATGATAATAAAGCTCTCTTTCCCTAAATGTAATGTGATCTTACTGCAGGTCTGTTTTCCGGTCTGTCCGGGAATGAAGTAGCAGTGGGAAGGATGCTATTTACCATCTGTAACCAAACCTTTACACGTTGAAGATTTACAGCATGGATATGCAACACATTTCTCTTTAACAAATGAGGATGACTACAAATTATGATTTATTTTTTTTTGCTGTGATAAATCTGATAACTTTCTTAATTCATTTAGTTTTTCTATTTAATTTTGTCATTAGGTTTTTCAATAAGTCAAAATTGTTTTATAAATGTGGAAGATGCAGCCTTGAGTCATTTTGAGGATGTTCATTAGCTCTGATGAATCTTTGTTTTCACATCATTTAACTGAGGACAATTAAAACGATGCTTTCGTGCTCTTGGAATATATCCATCTGATTGTACTGTCTAATTCTAAATCTAAATAAAATGCATGCAAAATAAAGCCATCACTCTATTGTCGTCATAGTTGTTAGCATTGTGCTTGTTACCATTTTGATTAAGCTATTTAAAACATTTCCATGAGGTTAATATGACAAGACTCAGAGTCGCAGTGATGCTTTGAGCTAAAGGTCAACACACCCACAATGACAGCACAAACATACTGATGTAATGTTCACCATCTGGCATGCACGCTAATTTTAACTAATTAGCACAAAGCACAACGGAGGCTGCTGGGGATGTCATGAGTTTTGAAGTTAAATGCTAAGGTATCACCAGAGTCACTACAATCCTGTGGGAACATGAATGATTGCACCAGATTTTAATGGCAATTCATCGTGCAGTTGACAAAACACTTTGCTGCTACTGGGTGGGATTAGTAGGATTAATCCTCTGGGCACCATGAATATTTCTATAAAAATGTGGCCACCTGTAGCTTTTATAACATGTTGTTGGCCTTCCACAGTGCCGTGTGTAACGATCATAAACCTCTGTCACGTGTCAAGTGATTTAAGTTCACCGTCACTACAGAAAGTAATGTGACTTTCCGATTTCCATACAGCAGAGCAAAAAGTTTGGGCAGTGTATCGGTGTTGAAGCTTTTGAGTCCAATCCTGTCAGCACTCTGTGGTGTACTATATGTCATTGTGGTGCATCAGAACAGTTTAGGGTGTGCATGCAAATGACAAGAGTTACATTGAACAGTGAGTCAAGTTATTAATTTCTAAAAATATCTATGAGGGTAATATGTGTGCCATCTTTCCTTTAAGATGTGGTTATTGCACTTAACAGCGTTTCTCTTATATGTGCTCAAGCTTGTGCTTAATGCCACCCAAAGGCGTCTGATCAACAAGATCAGAAACGGACATATTTAACATTTTTGAGGTGGTTACCTAAGTTGCTAAACCAGTTTAGTTCTGACGGCTCCTTCAAGAGATAGATAGAAATGCATCACCACAGGTGGATCCGATGAGTTCAGTTGAAAAGCCTGTTCTCTTAAAGCTGCGCTATTTAATAGCCTACTGTTATACAACAACGTAACTCACAACTGATAATCTCCTGACAATGAAATTTCCACCAGCTGAACTTTAGAGCATCTTCCAGCTCAGTTTTTTTTTTTTTTTATAGCCCACAACCTGACTGTATAAATGAAGAGAAAGTAGCACCTGCACACTTACTCCATGCCACAATGGTGTAATAAAGATAATGTTTTGATCCTACTTAGATCTTTGTCAGGTTTAAATGAAACCAACACTTAAAGCGACACTCATCTTTCTGGAAATATTATGCTTTTCTTTGTTTAGGTTAAAATGCTATTAATAAGCTGATGGCACAGTAAAATGTAAGTGAATTCCACCAGAGATTAAAAAAAAATCATAATTGTACCATTCTCATATGGTTCTAAGAAAACTCCAACCAATCATTGCATTCGGTCCAAATGCAATGATTGGCCGAGCGTCCTGTCTGTCTTCCCCACATGGAGGCCTCCGACTGACGTAACCACTTGCGTAACAAAAGCAACTTTTGATAAGATATGAGGACGCGTTATGACATTTCTAGAGGGAATGGTAAAGGGTACCTGCGCTTGTATAGCGCCTCTCTAGTCTCCCAACCACACCCCCACCCCCGACCAGGAAGGGTCTGTGAGACAACAAATAGGCTAGTAAAAGGGACGCTTGTGGGTATAAACCTTCCGCAACAATGGCAGACAAATGTGGACCACCACTTCCACCTCCAGCCGCTCCAACAGGGAAATCAGTTGGCAAAAGAAAGAATATAGCAGAAAAAGCTAACACTAAGAGAGAACTTGATGCTGCAAGAGCCAAAACTCGGGTCAACATCGGCTCTGCTTTCAAGCAATGGCTTCATCCTTAGCTAAAAAGGGACGAGATGGTCACAGAGTTTCTGCTGGACAGGTATTTTTAGTTTGCCTCTAATGTAACATAGGCTATATCGTTATATATGACAACACAGCAACCAGTTGCTAATGGCTAACGTTAGCCTACTGTAGCATAGCCTCTGAAACATTAACGTTATCTTCCTTGTGCGTTTCCACTTACTAGTAACGTTAACGCTACTATCTAACGTTAGCACTGTAACCTTATTCTAAAACTCATCAGTCATCACTGACTCCGCTTGAGTTTTTAAACTCCGGGGTTGCGTTTGACTGTCTCGGTTGTAACGTTACACTCGCGCTCCTCTTCCGTGTATCTAACATTACCTTGCCAAAGCCTACGTCTATAAGGAGGACGTAATTGAGGAGGGGGGAGTAGGCCTTTGGAGGGAGGTGGAGTTGCAGGAGGAGGCGGATTGGACTTTGGAGGGAGGCAGGAGTTGTGGATGTTCAAATTTTTGCTGTGTGAAATGCAAGAAAGGTAAGAGTTGCTTTAAGTGCCAAAAGGTGTCCTTGAATGGCCACTTGAGGCTGCCTCCAGAAACTAGTCAGTCCCCATAGACTCCCGTGTTAAAATGACCAACAACTCACCAATATACATTATATTGTAGCGTTGCGGGGTAGCTAGGTGGGTGGAGGAAGGACGAGGAGGAGGCAATGTTTGCTAGCTCAACAGAGCCCCGATTTAGTAGCAACAGCTAACCCGAGGTTGAGGTGTCCCCGGAAAAACAACAAACAGGCTCTCTAACTCTCTGAACTCCTGCTCCTTAAAAACTGTCCCGCCAACTGGTCCGGCAGCCTGCCGCTCCCCCTCCAACCCCCTCTGTCGTGAACTGTCGTAACCGTAACTACCCCCAACATTCCTTACCCCTCCCCAGAACAACTTATCAGCAAATACCCCTACAGTGGACACCTCCCTCAATGGAAATAATGTAATCAACACACATAATAACAGTCACTATATACCCAGCGTTACAATATTAAGGCTTAAAGTTACGCATAATTAAGGGCGGGCCACTTTAAGTGACACGCTATCTGCCGAGATATGGCCACTTTTGGCCCAAAAAAACCATTGTGTTGGCCAAAATGCCAAACTTTACGCTTTAAAATGTGAGAGTGATAAAACAAATGACAGTAAACAATTCAATGAAGGAAACAGGAAAGAAGTACGTAGAGAAAAACAGTAACACAAAAAGCCACACTAGATGGTTAACCACACCTGCCATCACGTCAGCCTACTGGTGTGCATTATGTGTAAATACAGGTGTGGTTTCTGCTTATGAAACATTTTAATCTAATGAAGATCCAAGTAGGATGGGAATGTTGTCTATATTATTTCTGGCATGGAGTAACTGTGCAGGCACTACTTTTTCTTCTGACGTGCATATAATTACTCTCCTTCTACTCCCACAACTTAACTGTGTCCAGAAAAACATATGAATGCTGCTTTGATTACAAAACATAAATGAACCTGTTGACACTTTTATTCCTTTCCTTACTCAGTCCATTCTGGTGGACATGATGAGGAATGGAAATATTTACAGATGACACGCTGAGACAGTATCTTTTAAAGGTAACACAGATTTATTGCACATATCAGTCCAGTAGCCTGAGATGACAAAAGTGTTACTTCACAAGTGAACAGATATCAGATGCAGTTGCCACCTTCATTTGGCAAACGTAAAGATATTCATCTTGTTCCTTCATGATTTTCATATGATGATTGCAGCCAGCCATCCCACTGCTGCTCCAGTGCTGCCCACAGCTGCAGTGGCAGCTCCTGACAGACCAGCAGCACCTATGGAGAGATAACTCAGATGTTTTATATCAAGGAGCTACAGAAAAGTTGAGAGTGCCTTCTTCTGATGCTAAAAACTAAACCATTATACACAGAAGTGTCAGTTTATTCTAGACACTGTATTATAAACCCAAAACTAAATTTATTGTTTCCTTTAGTCCCAGGTTTGTGAGACACCTGTGTAGGATTTTGTGCTGTTGTTGTTGCACCTCAGACTGTGTTGACATAGGACACATAATGCCCCTGTGGTCAATTAACAGCATTTACCTGCTGCTTGCAGACCAGCCACCAGACTTCCTGCTGCCACTCCTCCACCGTTAGCAATTGCAGCAGCTGACATCATTTTTGCAGCAATGGAGCCTGCTGCTATTCCAGCTGCAGTGAAACCTGCACCAGTCAGAACAAGAGGAGCTGCGACCACGGCACCCGCTGAACATGCAAAATACAACAGAGGGAACTTTATTAATGATAGTGTGCCATTTTGTCAGGCCACTTTAGGTATGAAATATGTTTAGCATGAAAATGCCTTTTCTGCATTAAAGTCTGTTAAAATCTGATGAAAAGTAAACAAAGGTGCACACAAAGGCTGTACAAAGTCTTACCTGCACTGCCGCCAACTAACACAGCCGTCACTGAAACAGAAGACAAAAACCAAAATCAACAATCACAGTCCATCAAGCTTAATCAGACATTTGCTGTCAATATTTTTTATAAGAAAAGAGTTTAAGCAAAACTATCAGCACTTTGAAAGCAATGTATCAGAACTGTCAAAGGAACAGTGATACTCACAAAGCCCCATCTCTTGATGGAGTGCGCAGGCTACTGATGAGCCTTGAGTTGCACTGAGCTGTATATACTGTGTGAGGGTTAGGTATCATTTCTTGAGTAATGACACCGTTCAATCTGGAACAATAGAGGGTGTCACAGAGTTCTTGTCTGCAATTAACACAAATAAATCCTGAGGTGGTTAGTTATTGCTGTATGTAGGGCATAAGAAGATAAACGAAAGACGGGAACACCAAAGGGCTGCTTGACCAGTTTAGTTGGGACGGCTCCTTTAAACCTGCATTCAGGACAACCTTTCATCTTTACGCCACCAATGACATTTTGGATGTGTATGACAGATTCAGGTGAGATGCTATGCCTGTAATTAATGATCAGTTCCTGGGTTTCAGATGTGTTGAGCAGGAGGTTGTTCTTGTGGCACCAAGTGACTGCTTGGCCCCTCTCCTTAACTGTGGTCCTGGTTTTTAGTTATCAGGCTTATGATACTTCTATCATCAGCTTATTCAAAGATGGTGAGGGACTATTTGTTATTTATGAGGGGGGACAGGGTGGTTTGAAACAGGTGAGGCATTGCTATGGCTCCAATACCTACATTTGGAAAAAAAAGAAAAGTAAGAAATATGGTTAGATTGTCAATTGATGGTTAAATTCTGGTCAAAGCCACAGGGAGCCACTCCTCAGCCAGCATGGCACAACACCTACACCAGCTGGCTGACTGCCTCAGAGCAGCACACGTCCTCGCAGCAGGAAGGACGTTCACCGAACGTTTCCTTCTTGCTGTCTCAAAGATGTGCGTAGATGGCGCACCAGAAGTGAGGCAAGTTATCAGCTTCTATAGATTTAATGTAACATTTTGCACAGTCTTGTGATTTCTGGCTCGTTTCTTTGTTGAGTGTTTGTCACAGTCTTTATTTTATTTTCCTGAACCTTAAGCTAAATAAACATATTCCTCCACAGGCACCACGGACGAATAGTTCTCCTGGACCTGGCCCACCAGAGGGACTTCCTGAAAATCAAGCGTAGCGTTAGTTCTGGCAGGCCACGACGTCAAGCTCTAATTAGCCATTAATGGCAAGCAAGCAATCCTCAATCAGCTGATGGCTCAGCTGACGGCTCCTTTGCTCCTATTGGAAAATTGCATTCAGAGCGCGCTATTTAAACAGCTCTAGCCTGGCCCCTTTTGCTGCTTCCTCTGCTGGTAATCGCAACCCACCTCCACCCCAGCTCCTCCTGTCATGCCGTTTTCTCTGCTCTATCTGGGTTTCTTTTGCTGCTGCGCTCCCTGCTATAGCCGTTCATGATGGCTCATGAAGGGCAGGAAGGTGTGCTCTTCCTGCCTCAGGCTTTCCACGCAAGTGCGTGGAAGAGCAGGGGGTCCCAGATCCTCCTGCTATGCGGGTCCGAACTTTATTGTATTCATTTGCTTGCTCTGCTCTGTCTGGGTTTTCTTTTGCTGCTTCGCCCCCTGCTCCAGCTGTTCATGATGGCTCATGAAGGGCAGGAAGGTGTGCTCTTCCTGCCTCAGGCTTTCTACGCAAGCGCGTGGAAAAGCAGGGGGTCCCAGAACAGAACCATATTGCCAAATGTAATATAACTTGTGCAAGTAAATAAAGATTATTTTGACAAAGTGGTCCTGACGGAACTCTGGATGAAGATTGTTCCAGAGAAAGAGAGAAGATCTTTAGACAAGATCTTACAAAAGGCCAAATAATAATGCACAACATCTGCATTATTAATATTTATGATTCTATTTTGTTGTATTCGTATTTTAATGCTACTGTTACTCACTGTTTTGGAAAAATACTTTTTGAGTTCAAATGAACACACAGTCCGTCCTCAGAGGGACTTCCTGAAACTCTGGATGAAGATCGTTCTGGAGAAAGAGAGAAGATATTTAGACAAGATCTTCAATAAGGCCCATTGATAATGCGCAACATCTGCATTATTACAAAGTATAATGTTTCTGTTGTAATTGTTATTGTTGTTGATGTCTTATAAACACATTTGCTTTCGATTGTTTTCAAAAAATGCCTTTTGAGTTGAAATGAACATGAAGTACTGAGAGTATGCAGTAAATGACACACCCATCCACAAATCTCCTCTTGTTATATGCGCAGACAGTAAGAAAATTACATCCTTTGGTAACACGTACCCTCCCAATAAACCATCACTGAGTCATCATGAGTGAATACAGCAGCTGACATGACGTAACACACATTACACCAATGTCCGGAGTAACATCCTACATTTAGTTGTGATTTTGGGTACACTCCATGAACTTCAACATATAAGGGTGCTTTTACAGGTTTATACAGGCTGACAGGTAAATTGATTGGACAGTTTGGGCAATTTTCATCCTGTATCATCAGGATCCACATGGAGAAGTCATATTTCCAGGGGTGTATGCAGCACCAGGGGCACTGGTTTCATTTTAACATTGGAGGGGAAACATATTGAGCAAGGTGCCTGGGGGTCTTCCCCCTGGAAATTCTGAGCATGAAAATCTTTGTTTCCTGCATTCTGGTAATTTTTTATGCGGCAATTTATGATGGAAATGTATTGCTTCATGTAAAGGAAAAAACCTCAGATGGTTGGCTCAGTACATATATACTATTATTGTCCTCCCAATCAGCTTTTCTCATTCAGCCTCATCTCTGCGTAGTCAACACATGTTGGCATGATGTACTCTTCCCTCCTCTTTTGTTTGAGGAAGTCACTTTTTAAAATGTGCATGTGGTACTGATTCACATACATTCTTTTTCTCATTTATAAACCTCTGGGGCCGTACTCACAAACTAACTTAGCCTAAACATTTTTAGTAAGGAGTCCTAGCTTAGGAGTGATTTAGGAAAGTTCTCAACTCTGAGGGAGGAAGGGACAGAAACTTTTATCTTAGTGAGAAGGTGTGGTTGACCCCCTTGCTATGTGTGATGCATTCTTTTAACAGGTGATTGTCACAAACACGTCCCTCTGTGAGCCTGAAGGGTGTGGACACTCAGTGGAAACGAAATGAACTGCTGATTGTAAAAGTGTTGTCATTGTTAGTGTGATCACTCTGCTGATGGAAGGTTGAGACAGACCAAAGTCATCACTGCTGCACTGATGTATTTTTAAAATATCTTTGTGTTGTGGTCATTTTATTTCTGGCGTTATAGCATTATTATGTGTGGTGGGAAATATGTGCGTGTCAAGGATGAGATTGACCACAGATATTCTAATCTGTGGCATTTAATTTACTCACTGTCATCCAGCATCTAGAGAATAAGGGTTGAGATGCTCTGTGAATAACTTTACAAGGACCTAAGGCGTTTCTAAATCTGCGTTCTTGCCTGTACTTGTGTTCTTGTGGACTTGTGAAACGTCATCAGTCGCAGCCCAAGTACTGTTCTAATTCAAAGTCTGCATCCAGCCAAGTACAGTCCAAATGCCCGGATGTGAACTTGCTCTGCCTGTTCCATCGGGGATGAATTGGGAGGTGACTTGTGTGGACTTTTGACAGCCAGGTATCCCAGAATGCATTTCTCACAGATCAGTGGCAATGGCAGCCGTTCTTGGGAGTTTGTACTCCCGAGTTGAACTTGCCAAGTCCGAACTCCCAAGCGCGCAAGTCCAAACTTGGCGTACTTGGTATTGAGAAATGCCTCTAGTCTTAACTTTAAGGTACGGTGACCAGACGTCCCCGATTTCCGGGGACAGCCCCCGATTTGGGTGACCGAAAATGTCCCCGATTTTGACACTGAATGGGTTGAAAATGCGCACAGACTCAAACACCAGTTATTACGGTAGTCAGTAAACGCATTGCCAGAGAAGACGTCGTATGATGTACAGACGTTATCAGGAAGCACGACCAGACGCAGCAGCATCAACAACAACAATCTAGAGGCAGCAAAAAGGAGGGAAGAGGAGACCAGCGGCCGCGTTAAATGGTATGCTGTGTATGAACTTATTTATTTTGTGTGAGCTGGCAGTAGACTTGACTGTGTGTGTGTGAAGTGAGGTAAAGTAAGTATGATTGTGACATGCAGTGCGTAACATGCAGGAGAAGAGATAGGAGAAACTGGCTGACTGTAGTCTGTCCCCCTGATGAGTGACTTGTGTGAGTGCACTTTAGAAATGTAGGCTATTCTTTGATTTTAATAAAGTAGCATTTTGTTGATGTTGTTTAGCCTTGCTGATGCTGTTGCATGGGGGATACAGTTATTTTTATTGTATGAAAAAATTAGATCTGCAGTAGAAAGTTGCACTTTGGAAATTTGGTTTGGTACAAAGTGGAACATGGTTTAGGTTTAGAAACCTCTGATGTAGCACATTTCAAACAGAGGCAATTACGTAGAGCAGATAAAAAAGAGCACTCTGACTAAATTGTATAAGTATATTACCAAAACTGATGTTATTTCTTTAAGAAACTATTCACTTACTATTGGCTCTGTTCTTGCAGTTTTTCTCATGTTCTCCTCTGCTCTTTTTCTACCCAAGCTCCTGAGGCGGAGGCTACGGAGGTGGATGAATGAGGGGATCACCATTTTTTTGATTGCCACCTTTTGTGTCATAAATATCAGTTCAGGATTCAGGTATGAGTAGACACCTTTGACCAAAAAAATCCATCCTCAAGCTAACAAGATTAATATATTTTTGTCTTCCTCAGTGGATGGATGGTTGGCGATGTCACTCATTTGTTTGATTGCAAACTTTTGTGTAATAAAAGCTGGTCAAAATACATGAAAATGTACTTGTCCCCGATTTTCATCTCAGAAATCTGGTCACCTTACTTTAAGGGGAAATTCTAAGAAAACGTCACAATTCTAAGAATTTTCGTAGAATTTCGTCACTAGGAGCGACTCTTAGCACTAGGAGGCTTTGTGAATACGGCCTCTGGACTTTAATAGCTCTTATACGTTACAGTTATATTCCTGCTCATGTTGAAAACTTTCTGCACGTTCAAAGCATATTTCACACGTCTGTGTTGAGAACAAAGCTGTAATTTTAAGAGAATAAAGGTGAAGACAATCATATTAGCTATACTGAGTTAGGGGAGGAGGACCGAAGGAGAGAACAAGTTCTGTTGTCTGTCTATGTACCAAATACACTGACTGCGCAGACAGACAACAGTGTTATTGCTGCGAACAATTCAGTAGTTGCTGGATATCGGTAGGAACATTACTGTCTCTACACAAATCTATGCCCTTGACTGAATATATCCCAGTCACTGGAAACAGACTCACAGGGTTTTAGTGACATCAGTGGTTTAAAACTCTTTGGTTTTATCTTGAGAGATGTCTGGTGAACAATTTAATCAACTGACAATTGCATTTTTAACCAGGAGATTCGGAAGGTTACAGATAGTCATGTTTCCCTTAGGAAGACTTGTAATGACTTAGGTAATCCCTTCACCTTTCCTCTTCCTCATCAAGTTAACATTTTATTTTGTGAAGACTCAAAAAACAGCACGCACATCTGGACAGAAGAACAAATACAAAAATACAAAAACAGGTCCGCACACCAGAAACTGCTCCTTTTGGAAATTTTAATCGTATCACCAAGTGACGTTTTGGGCGCAAAGAAATGTGCCCGAAACGTCACATGTGGTGATACAATTAAAATTTCCAAAAGGAGCAGTTTCTGGTGTGCGGACTTATTTAACATTTTATATTGTCCAAAACTTTGCTTAATGACCATAGAGTGCTCCAGGGATGACGCTTTTCTGTAGGCTGATGCGAAAGTTAGCACTGGTTCCCTCGTCAAAAAGCCTATGGGATTTTCCCACTGGATTTTGGATTATTGCCGAAAATAAACTCTGTGGCAGACAAACCTTTATGATGCTTACACATTTTGTTCAACAGGATAACTTCCACAAATTAACACCACTTTCTTGATAACTGAAACCCAAATGCAAACACCAGAGGTAAAAGCTAATAGTTAACCTTAAACAAACATTGCTACTGTAGTCTCATTTAACCTCTTGCTAGCAACCGCCTTTTGTAGACACATAAAAGATTCAAAATTCACGAGTGGGGTATTTAGTGATGTATTTCATTTTGATGAACAAAACATGAAAGTCTCTCAAGCTTGTGTTAACCACAGACCTTATTCCTGGCATCTAACCACAAAAACATTGACTTCAAAATGGGGGAACCGGGAGCGCAAAAATGCTAACTCATTTCCAGATTTTAGGACTCATTCCTGCGGCACTCTACAAGCCTGTTGCCTTTAAGCAGGACTAATTAATATCATTATAACAATCGATTAAGTGACTTGTGTGTGTGAAGTAAAAGGTGTCACTCATAGTTATGACCCAACAGCTGATTATCTCCGAACAACAAGGCTGCTCACAGCTGTATATTAGCTTTATAGCAGTGTTTTAGTTTTATGACCCCCAACTTAACTGTGGCCAGGAAAGATGTTGCTTAAATGTTATAAAGTTAATTACCCTGTTGACACTTTCATTCATTTACTCACTCAGTATCCTCTGGCAGACATTATGAGGGAACTGAGATATTTACAGATGACACGCTGAACCAGTATCTTTTACAGGTTACCATTTATTGCACAACACATTTCAGTTAGTAAATAACTGATGTCATTTGTGATTGTGTCCTTCATTTGCCAAAAGTAAAAGTATTGTAAACGCATCTTCTTTCTTCATTATTCTCAGATTAATACAGCCAACACTGTTCCTCCAACACCTGCTCCAGCGCTGGCCACGGCCACATTGGCAGCTGTTGACAGCCCTGCAGCACCTACAGCAAGATTACACAAGTTTTATAGGCACAGCAACAGAAGAGTCTTGCTCTCAAGCTGACAGACTGCATCAAGCAGGCGCATAATTATACACAGTAGTGTCATTTCTACTTAAACACTACATTGTAAACCCAAAATTACCATAAAGGTGCTATAGTTACACCACAAGATTATAATTCATTTTAAAAAATCATGTAACGGCTTTTACCTGCCGCCTGCAAAACAGCCACCAGACTTCCTGCTGCCACTCCTCCTCCGTTAGCCACGGCAGCAGCTGACATCATACTGGCTGCATACGAGCCGGCTGCTATTCCAGCTGAGGTGAAGCCTATGGCTCCCAGAACAAGTGGTGCTGCAGCCACACCAGCGACTGCACATACAACACAGCAGAGGACGCTTTGTTAATGATAATGTGCTGTATGTTTGCTCACTTTAAAATGGATCATGTATGACGTCAGTTTAGCATGCACATTTCTGCTATGCATCAAAGTGTGGTTATATCAGTTGTACAAATAAACACAGGTGATACATAAAGGCTGTTCTTAAAGTCTCACCTGCTCCTCCTCCTAAAGCGATAAATGTTACTGAAACACAAGATGAAAACTGAAATCAGCATTTACAGTTCATCTCTTAGTCAAAGACATTTGCTATGGTTATTATCATTTGTTTTTATTTTCATAACAAAGGCATACAGTCTTAAAGTATCAACACTTTCAAAGAAGTGTGAAAGGAACAGTGGTACTCACAAAGCCCCATGTCGTGGGTAGTGTAGTCTTGCTGTACTGCGCAGGCTACTGATAAGCCCTGAGCTGGGCTGAGCTTTATATACTGTGTGAGGGTTAGGTATCATTTCTTAAGAAATGAAACTGTTAGAATCTGAACTGAGGAGGGCATCATAGAGTCTTTGTCTGCATTTAACTCCCCCAAAATGCAAAGATCTAACATATCTGAGGTGGTAAGTCATGGCTATGTTTGGAACATAAGAGGAAGAACAAAAGACATGAACACTCACGAGCTGCTGAACCAGTTTAGGTCTGGTTGCTCCTTCAAACCTGCACTTTCATCTTTACCTCACTGATGAAGTTAATGCTTTGGCCCTTTTACTCAGATCAAAGTAATTACTGAGGTACAATAGTAAGTATTTATTCTCAAGAAATCATAATAGTGTTAATCCAGCATATGGGACCTGAGGATAAAATGTAGTCACTATTTATATTTATGTGTACCAAACATTTATTGCAATAAAAAGGGGGAATTTAACCCTTTGAAACCTGGAGTGACATCACTTTTCTTGTGCTGCTTTCCGAGCACATTGGTGCCATTTCTTTAAAAACATGGGAAAGAGGCAACGAGCAACTTGGTAAGAAATGTCCTACAAATTGCAAAATTGTTTATTAGAAAACCTTTTTTTTAAAACTAGGGAAAAAAGAAAAAAGTCAGAAAAAAAATATTTATAATTATTACAAATGTGTATTTAAGGTATAGAATTATTATAATATTGAAGCCCTTTTTCCAGGTCATTTCCGTGTTTGTTTTTAGATCTTTTTTTGTTCTTCAACTAATTTTCTTGTTTTTAATTTTCTCTTTTTACCAGTTTCATGCAATTTTTATATATATTTATAATTATTACAAATGTGTATTTAAGGTATAGAATTATTATAATATTGAAGCCCCTTTTCCAGGTCATTTCCGTGTTTGTTTTTAAATCTTTTTTTGTTTTTCAACTAATTTTCTTGTTTTTAATTTTCTTTTTACCAGTTTCATGCGATTTTTTTTTCTTCTTTTGTTGCTCATTGCCTTCTTCCCGTGTTTTTGAAAGAAATCAAGCCAATTTGCTTGGGTTTCAAAGGGTTAACGAAATCTGCAGTTTGACACAAGGCATGTCTCATGGCCAAATCATTCAAGTTTCTGTCCTCTTATTTAAATTCTGAGCAATGTGAAAACACTTTGACGTAATACAAACTTACCAGTGGAGGGCAGTACTGTGACAGCAGCAAAGCTCCCCTGCTGTTGTAGATAACAGCTCATCTTCTGTTTACATAAAGTTAGAGACGCTCAGTATCTTAACTATGTTCTGTTCAAGTTGTCAGTGGACATATCCATAGCCATCATAACAGACATGGCTGCAGTGGCCTGTTATTAATAACTGCATTTAAAAAAAAACAAAAAACAGATCAAACTATTGGATGGATTTACAGAAGTGAGCAGAGCTGAGGGAGAACAGTCTCTGCTGGGGCTTTTCTGCTGATGTCTGAGTTACTATTCTATCTGAGTGTGAATTGCTGCGTTAATTAACCTTTGCACACTCTCATTCATTTACTCAGTCAGTACTTTCTGGTATGAAACGAGGACTGGAGGATTTACAAACAACACACTGAACTCAGTATCTTTCCCAGGTTACACACATTTATTGCACAAAACGTTTAACTCATCTGAAATTCCAAAAGTTAAGTAAGTGAACATTTTAAATTTGCTGTTGCTTCCCTAATGAGAGAAAGTAAAAAATATTGTAAATGCATCTTGATCCTTCATGATTTTCAGTAGAAGTAGCTTGTGAGCCATCCCACTGCTGCTCCAGTGCCGGCCACAGCTGCAGTGGCAGCTCCTGACAGACCAGCTGCACCTACAGAGAGATACACAGATGTTTTGTATCAAAGTCTGGAGCTACAGAGAAGCTGAGACAGCTGAAACAGTAGCATTATTATATGCTGTAGTGTCATTATATTGTACCTAAACACTATTGTTAACTTAAAGCCACTAAAATCTGTTATGACAATGTGAAGCTTGGATTCTGTGTTGTTGTTGCACCTTAAAAAGACATAATAGGGCACAAAACGCTCCGTGATTATCATTCAAACAATGCTCATCTCGTCATTAAGATACAATCATTAAAACCACAAGATAACAAATATTTTAAATATCAAGTAACTGTGTTTACCTGCTGCCTGCAAACCAGCCACCAGACCCCCTGCTGCCACTCCTCCTCCGTTAGCAACTGCAGCAATTGACATCATTTTTGCAGCAATGGAGCCTGCTGCTACTCCAGCTGTGGTGAAACCTGCACCAGTCAGAACAAGAGGAGCTGCAACCACAGCAACTGCTGCACATGCACAACACAGCAAATGGGCTCATTTGTCAGGCCACTTTAAAATGGATCCTGCATGATTTCAGTTTAGCATCTAAGTGGCTTTTCTACATTTAAGTGTGTTCATATCAGTTATAAAGGTTGAACAAAGTTTTACCTCCTCCAATCACTGCAGCTGTGCCTGAAACACAAGATGAAAACTCAAATCAACACCGACTGAACCAGATGGACTACAAAAGACATTTTCTATGGCTACTGACATTTTGTAAGAAAAGCATATACTCGTAAAAAAGTATCAGCAGTTTCAAAGACAAGATACTCACCAGGGTCCATGTCTATTTGTTTTGTTGAGTCACAAGCTGAGCTGAGCTTTATATGGCGCACTGTGTGGGTCGGGTTTCACTTCCTCAAAAATGAAACTTTTAAAACCTAAATGGAGGGCAGGGTCACAGAGTCCCTGTCTACATTCAACCCAAATGAATTCAAGTAATAAACATTTTTAAGATGGTAATCATGGCTATGTTTGGAACAAAAGAGGAAAAACAAAACACATGAACACTTAAAGAGCTGCTGAACCAGTTTAGCTCCAGCTGCTCCTTGAAACCTGCATTCAAGACAAACTTTCATCTTTACCTCACTGATGAAGTTAATGTTTTGGCACTCGAGGTCACAGTGGCTTTTACTGGGATCAAAGTATTTTAGTTAAATACAATATTAATAATTAGGGCCCGAGCAGGTCACAGACCTGCGAGGTCCCTATTGTTTTTCTCACGATTTTTTTTTTCTTCTGCCCATATGATTGCATTTTTCACTGCCTGAACATACCCCAAAACTCACCAAACTTGGCATATAAGTCACACCTGGTGAAAAATTTTATAATCTATTGTCCTGAATTTCCACCACTAGGTGGCGCTATTATTAAGGAAAGTGCGTTTTGGCTCATAACTCCCATATACTTTGTCGCACATTCAAAAACCTTATATCCACGCGTTCAGTGAATTGTGCTGAATTTTGTGGTATAGGCCATGCCCATTTCTGCCTACCGTTTTTTTTCGCAAATTCGCAAAATGTTGCAAACCTACTTTTTCGAGCTCCTCCCAGGCAATTTCACCGATTGGCATGAAACTTTGCACACAGCATCTGTGGACCCTCCCAACAAAAAGTTATTAAAAGAATTTTGATATTCCAAACAATACTCAGTTATTAAATAGCAACTTCCTGCAGATTTCATTCTAAACAGGAAGTGCTGCATATCTCCACATTGGTGTATCCAAATGACATGAAACTGAGGTTACCACTTCCCCATGAGGCCCTGAGGCTCTGTGCAAAATTTCGGGTGATGACCACAAGGTGGCGCTCTTTAAATTGAAGTATTTTATATCTCAACATTGGTTGGGCGGATTAACACAAAACTTGGTATAATTATTGTCAATGCCCTCCTGAGGACTAATTTAATATTTAGCACTGTGCCAACACCATAACACTCACGGAAATAAAATTGATAGGGGTGGTATAGACTGGTCCCTGTAACTCACACACCAAAAAATGACCAGCAGGTGGCGCTATTTTCAATGCAAAAGCGTTTTTGGCTAATAACTCCCACATAATATGTCGCACATTGTTAAACCTTCTATTTACGTGTTCTCTGAATTCCGCTGAATTGTGTGGTGTAAGCCACGCCCACTTTTGCTTTAACTTTCCATTCTCTAAATTGTTATAAATGAAAAACATACTTTTTCGAACTCCTCCTAGGCGATTTGAGCGATTTGCACCAAACTTTGCATGTAGCATCTGTCAACCCTCCTGACGAAAAGTTATTAAAAGAATTTTGATTGTCCAAAAAACAGCCAAAATATAAAACAACAAATTCCTGCACATTGTGTTCAAAACAGACAGTCTTTCATATCTTGACCAAATACAGTCCGATTACCACAACACTTTTGCTAATTGTGTTCCATGGCCTGATGAGGATTTGTGCAAAATTCAGTGCAAATCGGCCAATAGGTGGCGCTCTGGTGGCAGTCTAATTAGTGTGAATGGAAGTAAATTGGAAAATCTTCAAATCCTCTTCAAAACTCATCGACTTTCATCCTCTTCTTGTCCCTCATACTTTGAGCTAGAGACACCATGTCAGCTTTCAAAGAGTCAGAAGACCTTGAACTGTTGGGCATGTATTCAGCTTCTACTTTTTACATATGTGGGTTGGGTGCCTACCTGTATACTGGAAATGTAAGTAAGAGATAACGTTTATTTTTTAATTTATTACAGCTGACAAGACATGTAGGTGCACGCCCCCCGACGGCAGCATGCCCCGACGCGCGTGGACTGCGAGGGCCTGTTCATCGCTGCTTGCAGCTTTAATTGTATATTGTATTCACAACAACAAAAACAGAGAAGGCTGGAATATCTCAACAATTATTGGATGGATTTACATTAGTCAGTAGGGTGGGATGGGTGAAATATCATTTTACCAGCCCCTCTGATTTGTTGTAGCGAGTTAAGTGTTGAGAAGGGGAGTCTATGAGTTTGGCGGATATTGTTGACAATGTGCTTTTATGCAAATATAAGTATCTAGGCTGCTGTATCAAATTGTTACAGATTTAGCGAGGATACTTTCAATGATGGCTGTATAAAACTAGAGGATTCAGTGTTTCACTTTGAATTCCAAAGTTGTCTAGGAAGAAGAGTCTCTGCTCAGCTTTTTGTTCATGTGTTTGCGTTAATATTCATTTACAGATCTATTTACAGACGACACACTGAACCAGTATTTTTTTTTTTACAATTAACACATTTATTGCACAACACCTTTCAGTTGTCTGAAATCAAAAGTGCCATTTGGTAAATTATCAGATGTGATTTGCAGAAATCTTCATTTGGCAAAAGTAAAAATACTGGAAATGCATCTTGAGCCATCATGATTTTCAGCGGAAGAAGCTTGTGAGCCATCCCACTGCTGCTCCAGTGCCGGCCACAGCTGCAGTGGCAGCTCCTGACAGACCAGCTGCACCTACAGAGAGATACACACATTTTATATCAAGGAATGGAGCTACAGAGAAGCTGAGAGTCTTCTTCTCTAGGTAAAGGAGTGAATGAAACATTCATTACAGTGCATCATTCAACTGTACCTAAAAACTATGTTGTTGAATACAACACTGCTTACCCATATAAGCTTTTTAATTTCTATTGTGACGATGCTACATTAATATTGTTTCAGTTACAGGCTTGCTAGACACTTGTACAGGGTTTTGTGTGATTGCACTTCAAAAATCTTCAACCAAAGATTATCATCTCACTATCAAGAATACGATTTTAGAACCACATTAAAATTCATTTAAAAAGAATCAAGTATGACTCTTACCTGCCGCCTGCAGAGTAGCCACCAGACTTCCTGCTGCCACTCCTCCTCCGTTAGCAACTGCAGCTGACGACATCATGCTGGCTGCATATGAGCCTGCTGCTATTCCTCCTGAGGTGAAACCTATGGCTCCCAGAACAACAGGAGCCCCGACCGTAGCAACCACTGCACATGGACAACAACGCAGCAGAGGAAACTTTGTTATTAATGATAGAGGGCTAATTTGTCAGGCCACTTTAAAATGGATCATGCACAGGGGCGTAAATATAGACAGTGCAGTCTGTGTGGTTGTGCTGGGGTGCGTGGGGTGGAGGGACCTGACTGCCACCTGGAAATACGGCAGTGTTCATAGAAAGACTCAGATTAAAACAAAAATGGTGCAGTTTTTATATGACCTCAAAAAGGCAAACCCATTTTTTTGGGTATCAAGTTATAACAAACTACATGCTTATTCTACATAAACTATTATTTAACTATAAAAAACTGTTAAGTTAAACTAATAATTTCCTATTTTCATTTGTAGTTTTGTCATATGCAGTTGTGTAACGATGATTGCTGGGTAATATGTATGTTGATGTCATCCAGTATCAAGTCTGTTTACTCATGGCACGAGACAAGATGATGTAAAGTGGCTAGTTTCGGTGCAAAATCTCAAGACTGACAAGCTGGGCACATCTGCAAGCGGATAAAACATAAAAGCAGCAGTAAGACACTTTAACTAGCTGTCTTATGCCACTGATGATACATAATGTAAGTTGACTATGTAAATGGCTTTTCTTAATAAATTTAAAATCAGTTGAAAAGGTGAACACAGGTGACCATAAAAGCTGTACAAAGTCTTACCTGCACCTCCCACAATGGCGGCAGTTGTCCCTGAAAAACAAGATGAAAACTGACATCAACATGTACAGTCCATCCTGCTTAATCAAAGATATCTGTCTTGGTTACTGCCATTATTACATGTTTGTAAGAAAAGTACATTTAACACCACTTTGCAGGCAATGTATAAGCACTGTCAAAGTTACAGCAACGCTCACCTGCTAGACCCATGTCTTGTTACTGGTCTCAAGATCTCTTCTGACCTGTTGAGAAACGAAACTTTGTCCCAGTGTGAACAGAAGAGGGCGCCAAACTCCTATATCACCTATATATATGTATCAAACCTGCAGATGTGAACTGGACAAACAGGAAGTGATACTCAATAGCACTGAATGGTGATATTGTAGCTCCAAAAATGTGCCCTGAACATACCGTAAGATATGACACTGTAAGCTGAGAAAAAACAAATCTTTTGAAGATAACAGTAATGATTTATCCAAACCCTGTGGTGCGTTTAGGGCCTCTGATGTGTGTGCTCATCAAAAATGCGATTGAAAAAAAAAACTGCACAAACAAAAAGTTCCTCCACTGTCAGCATTTTTTCTGGCTTAAAAAGATGACATGTTCTGATAGGATGCTACAATTAAGCGTAAGTGCGATACTCCTCTATAGTACAGCATTTCTTAAGACTACAACGTAACTGCTGAACAGGACTGAAATGACCGTTACTTAAAATGGCATTCATGCTATCTCTTACATTAGCTAGCGTCTAAAATATCTTATTTTTAAATTCACCCACTTTCAATAACAATAGGAAACGATACGACGCCAAATACTGAGCCCTTATTATCAGTGCTGAACACAAAATAAGGTATAAAACCCACCTTTCTCTGGAGCTACCGTATGAAGCTTTGTCTGTTTATCCTACCGGAAGTGCGCTTTCAAAATAAAAGCACCAGCCTTTAAAATGTAACTAACAGGGCACTATTAACAGCCAGTGAAGTAAACACGAGATTATTTACGTACAAATGTACTATTTTTTTATTGCAGGAAAAACAACGTTCAGCTGGTTTAAGGATAAAATGTCTTGATGTTTAATGTTCATGTTTACTGTAACGTTAACTGTTTTCCTGGTTGTTGGTGTTCCCCAGTTCTTCCGGGCTGTGATAAGCGGGCCACAACATTTGTTTCTTCCACTGCCGTAGAATATAACTTTCCTTCCATTCAAGGGCTCTGGTTTCTTCCTCTTCGTTTAATTTTTACCAACACTACAAGACAGTACTACTAACACATCCCAACTTAGGGGTACAGCCATAGACATATATATGTATGTACGTATATATGTCTATGGGTACAGCAACCTCTGTTCACTGTTAGGCACGAGGTGTATCACTCATATCTGTCCCCACAAGGTAGGAACTCATAACCATGGAAACACAATGAATCAATTGAAACACCACACATAAAAATACAAATGAAACAATAGGCTATACCAACTACTATAAATGCAAAATGAAATAATTTACCAGTAATTTTCCTATTACTACCTAAATATAGATAATGTATCTATTAATAAATGACACACTAACTTAAGTAACAAAATAAGCAATATATATATATAATGTGTGCAGTAATTGTGATTATATTACCAACAGTTATGTTGCAATGTTGCAATAAAAGTGGAGAATTGAATGAAAAACTTATGTAATGGCCTGATAATTCTGCAAATCTCCCTCCTGTCATATACAGTAAATAATAAACAACTCTTAACTCTGTGGGAACACCTTGATGTAACATGAAACTCTTGTCAGTAAAGGGAAGTATTTTCCCGTAATACGAAAGGTATCAGCAGATGTAAAGCTCCTTAAGTTACAAGTCCCCTGATGTTCTGTTTGGGTGAAAATGAGAGCTCATCTTCTGTCTAAGGAAATTTAGAGATGGTCATTTTCTCTTCAAGTTGTCAGGTGGACATACCCAATGGTAAGCATCATTACTGACAGGGCTGCAGTGGCCAAGTATCAAGATTTGTTAAGGAGGAGGTGTTTCAGGATGAGAGGTCTACGATCATGGGCATCAGTCAGAATACTGCAAGTGGCCACTGGGGAAAATTGGCTGCAAGGCTGAGCAGTGTTCCTGCGGGAGCATTATTGGTCTGGTGTGGCGCAGTGCATTCTGGTAGTTGTAAGTTTTCTACCTCTTGCGCAAAAGCAGATTAAATAGCCATGTCATGTAGTACCAATTTCACACATATTTGCATTTTTCTTATGCATAAACAGCCTGGTTTTGTGAAAAGACCATCTTTCCTGCAGTGAAATACTTCTTTAAGTCTGTATTCATGACAGCCGAAACAGACCAGACTGAAATATCTCAACAACCACTGGAAAGATCTACATTAAATTATGCACAAATATTCATGGTCACAAGAGGATGCAGCCCTCTGAACTTAGAGATCTACTGACTTTTCCTCACGTACCACTACAGGGATGACATTTCATTTCACTTAATTGGCCACACAACCTGAGTCGGTGGAATCTGTTAAATGAAATGCCCAGTACAGCGTCAGCAGCACAACATGCAGGTAAACAAAACACATTACACAATAAATACTGATCAATCAATCAATTTTATTTATTGATTTCACTAATGACTATAGTCCCAGACCATGACGAGCTGAATGTATCACAATGCAAGGATTAAAATTCAGGAGGCTGTAAAACTGATAGCGTATAAGGAGAAGAGCCAGTGTGATTAGACACATCCCTGAGGAGCACCACTGCTGCGGGTTAAAGGGCCTTAACCCACTTCTCCTTTCCCACAGGAGGCTCCAGATCCAGGGACGTACGCAAGGACTGTTGTTCATGTCCATCAATGTATTGAAGGGCTTGATAGGAATTACGTGTTGGAAGCAGAAACTAAAACATTTCAGTTGTCTGAGATTTGGCTCCATCTTGTTCCTTTATGCCTTTTTGCGGATGTGGCTGACCAGCCATCCCACTGCTGCTCCAACACCAGACACAGCTGTGGTCGCAGCTCCAGACAGACCAGCTGCACCTACGGAGAGATTGCACAGATTTCATATCAAAGTCTGGAGCTACAGAGAAGCTGAGAGAGTGTTGTTGAGAGCTGAAACAGTGACTTCATTGGCATCACAGTGTATACAGTGGTCTAATTCAATTGTACCTAAACTCCCTATAAAAGCTTGTTGAAAACTACACTATATTAAGATTTTTTTTAAATCTCTATTCTGACAATGTTATGTTAATGTAAAGCACTTTTGTCAGTGCTCATTGTTTTTTAAATGTGCTCTATAAATAAACCTGACTTCACTTGACTACTGTTGTGCAGGATTTAATGTTGCTGCACTTTAAAAGACATTAAAAGGTACCCAACATGATTCCCTTTTTATTATTACTCAAGCAATGATCATCTCACCTTTAAAGGCCCAGTGTGTAAGATTAAGGGAGATATAGTGACACCTAGTGGTGATGATTGTAGATTGCAAACAGCTAAAACTTCTGCTGGTTAGAATTCCCCCAGTGTTATACGTTAGGAGGTCTTTACCAGGAGCCAAATTATATGCAGAGGTCTCTTCCTCTCCAAAACAAATCAATGTTTCTGCTACGCTGTTGGGCACATTGCTAGCCCAGCAACAGCTAATGTGTGTTCACATTACTTCCAAACCTTCAGGAGGTTTTTACTGTGAGCTGAATGATCAGCAGAGGTCTCGTCCTCTCCAAAACAAACGGACCCAGTGATTTAAATTGGTAGTTTTGCACTAATAAATCAATGTTTTTTCAACGTTGCTTGTATGCTTGTGGAATGCGAAAATGTGAACAGTCCCATCCAGAGACAGTGTTTGGTTTGTCTGCTCTGGGCTGCTGTAGAAAAATGGCTGTACAACATGACAGACTCCATAACTAAGGACCAGCTCCCTATGTAGATGTAAACTAAGGTAAGGAAAACACAGCTATTCTTATTTTCAGATGATTATACTTATTATATTTCCATTTCTGTCAATCCCCCTAAATCCTACACATTCAATAATTTTCTGTAATTTTCTGTTCTGTTGTGGGTTGTGGGGGGACTGGAGCCTATACCAGCTGACACTAGGTGAGAGCTGGGGTACACCATGGACAGGTTGCCAGACTATCACAGGGCTGACACATGGAGACAGACAACCATTCAGGAAGCTGGAGGAGGACACGGGGAGAGCATGCAATCTCCGTAGAAGGGGGGCTTCAATCCCCCCACCCTGGGTTTGAACCAGGAACCCTTTTGCTGTGAGGCGACAATGCTAACCACTACACCCCCTACACACTGAACCTTTAAGATGTAACAGTTAAAACCACAAGATTCAAAAAACGTCAAGTAACAGTGTTTACCTATTGACTGCAAAGTAGCCACCAGACCTCCTGCTGCCACTCCTCCTCCATTAGCTATTGCAGCTGATGACATCATGCCGGCTGCATATGAGCCCGCTGCTATTCCAGCCGAGGTGAAACCTGACTCCCAGGACAAGAGGAATCCCTAGGACAGCAACGACTGCACATGGACAATGACACAGCAGAGGAAACATTGTTGGTGTGCTCATTTGTCAGGCTACTTTAAAATGGATCATGCATGATATATGCAGAGACTGTTCAGAAACATTTTAGATCATGTTTGGTTTGAGTTTAGCATGTGAAATTAATTTTCTATATTTTAAGAGTTGAAAAAGTAAACAGGCATAGATGGGCAGTATTCAATTACATGTATTTAAAGTACAGTACAGGCCAAAAGTTTGGACACACCTTCTCATTCAATGCGTTTTCTTTATTTTCATGACTATTTACATTGTAGATTCTCACTGAAGGCATCAAAACTATGAATGAACACGTGGAGTTATGTACTTAACAAAAAAAGGTGAAATAACTGAAAACATGTTTTATATTCTAGTTTCTTCAAAATAGCCACCCTTTGCTCTGATTACTGCTTTGCACACTCTTGGCATTCTCTCCATGAGCTTCAAGAGGTAGTCACCTGAAATGGTTTCCACTTCACAGGTGTGCCTTATCAGGGTTAATTAGTGGAATTTCTTGCTTTATCAATGGGGTTGGGACCATCAGTTGTGTTGTGCAGAAGTCAGGTTAATACACAGCCGACAGCCCTATTGGACAACTGTTAAAATTCATATTATGGCAAGAACCAATCAGCTAACTAAAGAAAAACGAGTGGCCATCATTACTTTAAGAAATGAAGGTCAGTCAGTCCGGAAAATTGCAAAAACTTTAAATGTGTCCCCAAGTGGAGTCGCAAAAACCATCAAGCGCTACAACGAAACTGGCACACATGAGGACCGACCCAGGAAAGGAAGACCAAGAGTCACCTCTGCTTCTGAGGATAAGTTCATCCGAGTCACCAGCCTCAGAAATCGCAAGTTAACAGCAGCTCAGATCAGAGACCAGATGAATGCCACACAGAGTTCTAGCAGCAGACCCATCTCTAGAACAACTGTTAAGAGGAGACTGCGCCAATCAGGCCTTCATGGTCAAATAGCTGCTAGGAAACCACTGCTAAGGAGAGGCAACAAGCAGAAGAGATTTGTTTGGGCCAAGAAACACAAGGAATGGACATTAGACCAGTGGAAATCTGTGCTTTGGTCTGATGAGTCCAAATTTGAGATCTTTGGTTCCAACCGCCGTGTCTTTGTGAGACGCAGAAAAGGTGAACGGATGGATTCCACATGCCTGGTTCCCACTGTGAAGCATGGAGGAGGAGGTGTGATGGTGTGGGGGTGTTTTGCTGGTGACACTGTTGGGGATTTATTCAAAATTGAAGGCACACTGAACCAGCATGGCTACCACAGCATCCTGCAGCGACATGCCATCCCATCCGGTTTGCGTTTAGTTGGACGATCATTTATTTTTCAACAGGACAATGACCCCAAACACACCTCCAGGCTGTGTAAGGGCTATTTGACCAAGAAGGAGAGTGATGGAGTGCTGCGGCAGATGACCTGGCCTCCACAGTCACCGGACCTGAACCCAATCGAGATGGTTTGGGGTGAGCTGGACCGCAGAGTGAAGGCAAAGGGGCCAACAAGTGCTAAACACCTCTGGGAACTCCTTCAAGACTGTTGGAAAACCATTTCAGGTGACTACCTCTTGAAGCTCATGGAGAGAATGCCAAGAGTGTGCAAAGCAGTAATCAGAGCAAAGGGTGGCTATTTTGAAGAAACTAGAATATAAAACATGTTTTCAGTTATTTCACCTTTTTTTGTTAAGTACATAACTCCACATGTGTTCATTCATAGTTTTGATGCCTTCAGTGAGAATCTACAATGTAAATAGTCATGAAAATAAAGAAAACGCATTGAATGAGAAGGTGTGTCCAAACTTTTGGCCTGTACTGTATGTTATTAATAAATGCTGAGTATGTTGTTATTTGTATTTTGTTTGACAGAAAAAAATAATAAACAAAATACTTTAAGAGCTTGTGTATTTGAAAGATGTCAGTATCAGTTTGTATAGAGAGTATTTTTCCAAATGACAGATTATTTGTATTTCAATTAAATACATGTGCTCATACCAGTATGTTGTAGGCCTATTTTATTTTTGATAGATTGGAGCAAGTATTTGTAACGAGAGGTATTTAGATGTATTTCTGTCCATCTCTGAACACTAATATCAAGGCTCTCCAGAGTCTTACCTGCTCCTGCTCCTGCCCCTATTCCAACGGCGACAGCTGCCTCTGAAACACAAAATAAAATCCGAAATTAACATTTATAATTCATCTGTTATGATTACCATTTTTCAAAAGGAAAAGTAAAGTAAAACAGTGATACTCATTCGGGTCCATGTCTCTTCCGAGCTTCAGTCTGTTAGGGCGTCTGTTTTCTGGGGTTGTACTTTCATTTACTGAAAAACGAAACTATGTATAAATCTAAACACAAGATGGCGCCAGAGAGTCATGTCATTTATTTAAATGCGTCATCGAACTACAAGGAAACAATAAAAACTAACACATGATATAAATATTAAATAAACAAAAATATAAAAACACACAATATATAATAAATAAATAATTAAATAAATAAATAAAATGCTGTAGTTTCCCTGTCGAATAACAGGAAGTGCCATTTAGTTTTATTATTATAATTATTATTATCATTATTATAAATTAATTGTTTATTTACTTATCTATCTATTTATTATTATTATTATTATTGTTACTACTACTGGTGGGGGTAGTAGTAGTAGTGTTGTTGTTGTTATTGAATTATTACTGCTTTTTGCATGTAAATGAAAAACATTTCCCTACAATTAAATTAATAAAGTATAGCATTTACTTTAGATTCTTAACAAAACTGTTTTTGAACAGAACAGACAATATGAGAGATTAAATTAATATCGTTTCATCCTTTCATTTTAACAGATGTCGCATTTGTGAACACCATGTTTGCCTGAGAGGAGGCGGTTAATTTAATTATTCATTTTGTTTTGCCCTTGCTGGTGAAATAAAGGTTTAATAATCTTAGAGACAACGGGTCTCCGTTGTTGCTCAGCGGACCTGATCACATGGTAGGATTAGCGCATGCGCGTGGAGTCCGGGGCTGATGGAGAGAAGATGCCCACTGCCATCATCCCCGTGTAGTGCAGGAGAGCTACAAACCGGTCCTATTTACCGCAGACACCACAGACTCTGTTGTCTCTCAGCTCAGCTGCATGTTGTAGTCTGACACAAGAAGCCCGATGTCTGTGGCAAATGCGAAACACACTGTCCTGAATCCGGTAAGAGGCTTATTATATTATTAATAATATTATTATCCACATCAGCCCTCTGATGCCATCATGCAATGATCAATAGACCCTCCTGTAGCTTATAATGCAGCTGAACAGCTATGTGCAGCAGCAGCTGTGTACAAACGGCCTGCACACTGGACGCAAACTAATCCGAGATATCACACGGGTTATTCTTGCTATTTATTTTAGCTCTCTTCTTTCAGGCAGCATGTGTTCAGCATGTGCTTTAACGTCTCCAACTCTCCACCTCAGGTGATCCCATACACAGGGCCCATACCTGGAGGCCTGCACCCAGGGGAGATCATCATCATCCAGGGCACTGTGCCCCCAGATGCTGACAGGTGAGATGTAATTAAGTCAGAGGAATATACAGAACAAGTGCCACCTGTATGGAGATGTCTAAATCAATTTAATTGGTAAACCCAGAGCATGTAATACTTTTAAACCCTGCTGTGTCTACTTCAGTGGTTCCTACACTGGTGATTTTCATTTCATGGCAACCCGCCATAATAACCCAACAACACGTTTACACAGTGGAAAATGTCTGTAAGTGTCATGGATTTAATTTCACGAATTTATTAAAACTCAGATGTATAGCTTTATTCCGCAGCTTTCGTTGACGTAGTTGAACTAGATTATTTTTCAGTGTAGTTTTGCAGATAGATATTTAAAATGAGTATGCTCAGCTGTGACTTAAACTTTCACTCCTCCACCTGGGGGTCAGAGGTCAGGTTTGGCTACAGAACCGTGTGTTCATCAAAGAATCTTCAGAATTATAAATGTTTGTGATCTTTTGCCGAAGGTGCTCTCAGATGTCAATTCATAGTTGCGTCTATAAGCCTGCAAGGATCTTATTTGGTCCGTGTGACGTAAATCTCGTCATCCGCCCATGTTCTCAGGGGTCCATTTTTTGAGACCATGTGGACTGCTGGCTGCGCATGCTCCAGTCTCTTGCTCCACACTCCAGTCCTATCAAAAACACTGCTTTAAAGCCAGACACAGCCACCTCACCACTGTGAAGTTAGACCCAACAGCATCGTTGAGGTTCAGTTTCACCCAATGGACTCAAGCCTTCCTGTTCACTGCTAGGATCTAAAACAGACCGTCAATTGTTTAAGTTCCACCTGACGTTGGCAGTAGGACAGTACGCTCACCTCCCAGCCCTCCTGTGCACTGCCAGGGGCTGACACAGACTGACAATTCAATCGAACTGTGTGTGTTGACGTGACCACAGCTGTATGGTCAATGTGGAAAGTATGGCCAAGCCTTTAAAGGGATAGTCCGGATCTTTTGAAGTGGGGTTGTACGAGGTACTTGTCCATAGTCAGTGTATTACATACGGTAGTCGTCAGTCGGCACACCAGCAGTTTGGAGAAGCAGGCAGGAGTATTGACACGAAAGCTAAGAAATGTACTGCTGTGGACGGGATCAGCAACAAAACACCTAAAAAAAGTCCCACCTAAAAAAATTAGTTTAAATCTATGTTATATTGAGGATATTTTCACCACTTTACTGTAATGTCAGACAGTGATTTCTGACAGGAAAGGGAAGCCTCTATATCGCTGTCTTAAAAGCCAGACTCCATTGAGAAGAACTTTGATTTAAGATCACTGAACACAAGAACTGCTGCTGTACCACTGCCTTGATAGGCGAGTTTGTTTCTGTTATTGTGCGACTTTGGAGTTTTAAATAGTTCAGATTCACCAAAGTCAAACAATAACACAAACTCACTAACTGCTTGAGGCAGCGGTAGACCAGCAGTTCCTGTGTTCAGTGAGGTAAAATTACTGTTTTTGTAAATGTTGTCTGGTAGCTTTGATTAGAGCATAGATGGGAAACTGAATCCGCTAACGTCTTCCCCGTTAGAACACGCCCTGACAAAAAGGTATGGTGCTGAAAATACTCTCAATATGGTGTACACTTAAACTGTTACATAGATTGTTTTTTAGATGGGACTTTTCTAGGTTGCTAAAACACATTTTGCTGCTGGCGCCATCCCCAGCAGTACATTGCATAGCTTCTGTGGTGGTGCTCCTGCAGCTTCACCAAACTGGGAGCATGATGACAAACATCTACTGACTTTGAATAAGATGACTGATTAAACACAACCTCATTACTCAATATGCACCATGTAATATTGTAATATTCAAATTGAGCTTAAAAATTATTTCTTTACTTTGGTAACAGTAGTTTTGCCTACTGGTTTGTTGATCTTTAAAGCCTCTTAAGTCAGATTTCTTTTGGGTAAACAATTAGTAGACCTACATTTTGACGCCTCTCTAAGGACCTGCCTTCACTGATATGGTACTGAATAGGTGCAAACAGCCCAACGCTTTGACATGAAGTGAATTTGCAGGGGCAGTTGCCCACTTTGACGGTTAATAATCCAGCCTCTGTGTGCACCCTCTCTGCAGGTTTCAGATCGACCTGTCGAACGGCTGCAGCACCAAGCCGCGCTCTGACGTCGCCCTCCACTTCAGCCCTCGCTTCAAAGGCTCGCCCTGTGTGGTGTGTAACACCCTGCTGCATGAGAGCTGGGGCAAAGAGGAAACGCTCCATCAGCTGCCCTACAAACGCGGAGCTCCCTTCGAGACCATCATCCTGGTGCACGAAGACGTCTTCAAGGTCAGTGAACTCATGCTGTGAAGGACGTAGGCATGGATGAACCTGTGTAGTACCTTTAAGAAAAGCAAATAAGTGACTGAATTACTTGTCTTCACCCATAGGTGGCAGTAAATGGCACCCACCTGCTGGAATACAAGCACAAAATCCCACTGAACAGGGTCGACACGTTTTCTATTTCTGGGAAAGTCAGGGTGCACGCTATTGGCTACATCCCAAACTCAGTAAGTACTTTCCCATCACGTGTGTGCTTTATTTTGTCCTCAAAAGCTTGTCAGATGTGTTTTTATTTTGTAAACATTTCTAATTAATTGTTTCTAAATTTGGCTTTTCCTTCTTTTAGGCAATATATTCAGAATCAGGTGACTTGGTGAGTTTTTCCTTTTGCGTCATCCACATAAAAACTAATGTGCCTAAAATGTACCCGGCATCTTGTGATGCCACTAAAACTGGATCACATTTCTTCAATGATCCCTTTTGTTTGTTCACTGTAGCCCTCAGACATTTAAAGCAAAATTCTGGTTTATTCAAGAAATTTATGAGATCTGGGAACAACAAAGTCCAGCGGGGCACGAAATGTGAGCCCTCAGACAGTCAGAGAGGTTGTAAACAGTCTAGATTATTTAAAGCACTTAATTTGGAGGTAAAACACAAACCAAAAACACCCAAAATGTTGATAAGAATCTGACTTCTTGTGTTGGTTTACTTCCTTTGGCGATGGTGCTGAATCACCAAGATCTTAACAGATAACGTGATGATTACAGTGTTATTATTAACGGCAGGAAGGATGGTCAAAACTGTTAAGGTAACACAAAAATCATAATGAATCAGAATTATTCTTCAACTAATAATCCACAATATTCACACCACTAAATAGTCCCCTTACTCCCATATACATAATATAGCACCTAAACCTGACTTTTGCAAGCTGTAAGGAGGCCTGCTCTGTCCCTGCTGCAGCATCGGACACTTGCAGAGGCATCAACAAATAGTTTGCAATAAGCAGAAAAGGGTTATAGATACACTGCCTGGCCAAAAAAAAAGTCGCCACCTGGATTTAACTAAGCAAATAGGTACGAGCCTCCTATTGGATAATTACTGCATGGGCGATTATCTTTCAGCTGGCAACAAGTTATTTAACCCCAACTGGTGCAATGAGTTGCTTCTCATTTCCTAAACAACCATGTCGAAAGACACATCCCGTGGTCGTGGAAAAGATGTTAGTCTGTTTGAGAAGGGTCAAATCATTGGCATGCATCAAGCAGAGAAAACATCTAAGGACATTGCAGAAACTACTAAAATTGGGTTAAGAACTGTCCAACGCATTATTAAAAACTGGAAGGATAGTGGGGACCCATCGTCTTCGAGGAAGGAATGTGGCCGGAAAAAAATCCTCAATGATCGTGATCGGCGATCACTTAAACGTTTGGTGAGATCAAATCGAAGAAAAACAACAGTAGAACTCAGGGCTATGTTTAATAGTGAAAGTAAGAGCATTTCCACACGCACAATGCGAAGGGAACTCAAGGGATTGGGACTGAACAGCTGTGTAGCCTTAAGAAAACCACTAATCAGTGAGGCTAACCAGAAAAAAAGGCTTCAATTTGCTAGGGAGCATAAAGATTGGACTCTGGAGCAATGGAAGAAGGTCATGTGGTCTGATGAGTCCAGATTTACCCTGTTCCAGAGTGATGGGCGCATCAGGGTAAGAAGAGAGGCAGATGAAGTGATGCACCCATCATGCCTAGTGCCTACTGTACAAGCCTGTGGGGGCAGTGTTATGATCTGGGGTTGCTGCAGTTGGTCAGGTCTAGGTTCAGCAACAGTATGTGCTCAAAGAATGAGGTCAGCTGACTACCTGAATATACTGAATGACCAGGTTATTCCATCAATGGATTTTTTCTTCCCTGATGGCACGGGCATATTTCAAGATGACAATGCCAGGATTCATCGGGCTCAAATTGTGAAAGACTGGTTCAGGGAGCATGAGACATCATTTTCACACATGGATTGGCCACCACAGAGTCCAGACCTTAACCCTATTGAGAATCTTTGGGATGTGCTGGAGAAGGCTTTGCGCAGCGGTCAGACTCTACCATCATCAATGCAAGATCTTGGTGAAAAATTAATGCAACACTGGATGGAAATAAATCTTGTGACATTGCAGAAGCTTATCGAAACAATGCCACAGTGAATGCGTGCCGTAATCAAAGCTAAAGGCGGTCCAACGAAATATTAGAGTGTATGACCTTTTTTTTTGGTGGTGATTTTTTTTTTGGCCAGGCAGTGTAGTATGTTAACAAACCACCAAACCAAAAGCTGCCGCTTAAGATATGAGCACTGAATGACTTTAGCTTAGATTCAGTTCTTACATTCATTTATACCTACAGACTGTGTACATACATGTATAATTTCACTTACACCTATGCATCAATGCGTGCAGTTGTGTACAGCGCACAAACATACTGGTACACACAGACCTGCACACTAGCTATAGTTAGAAGTCCTTTATAAACAGTATTCAACCTGTGTGACTTCTCCCTCTGTAATATTGTTTGTCTGTGTAGCCCCCCATTTAATAAACTGACAAATTAATAAAATAAAATCATAAATAAAAGTTGTCAAATCAAGTTTCAAAAGCGTGTTGTGGATTTCCCCTTTCAAATGTACACTGCCGTTCAAAACTTTGGAATCACCGGTTACATTGAATTTTTTCATCTTTCCTTCAATAACAGAGACTAGTCCATACCCAGTGAGTGCACAGTTGCCCACGTACAGTTTCACATGGTGTGTGTTTGGGATACAGGTCATAGGAAATTGCAGATTAAATAGTTAGCTGAACCCATTAAGAAGAGCAATGTATTCAGACAGTTTATGTGAATTTGATAGAACGATTGCTTTATTGAAAGTACAGTAGATTGACCACGTCAGTGAGTAGAAAAACAGACAGACAGAATGATACACTGACAGTTTCCGTGATTATGTACAGCATACCATACCATGACTTAGTCATACCAAAAATTAGAAAAAAAACCAAACATTGGTCCACAGGGGGAGCCACAGCGATCGGTCGCATTTTAGCCATTTTTAATCATTTTTCTGTTGTTATAGCGCCACCCAGTTGCCAATTAGAGTTAAATTTCTCCAGTCACCTTGAGGCGTCCTGTTCTACATATCTACCAAGTTTAGTAAAAATTGATATGGCAGTTAGGCCTAGATAAGAAATTAGCTCTGTAGCGCCCCCATTTTGTTTGATGGGATCAATAATAGAGGGGTCCCCTCAGATTATGTGTGGTCATATGCCTACAAAGTTGCGTGGTGATCGGTGAAACCCTTGAGATGTTATACACCTTTATGTGATGAGCCACGCCCTCTGCAATATTCATTGCCTTATAGAAGCTCAGTTTTAGTAAGTTTTCCAACTTCTGCCAAGAGGGAACTTTAGATATTGGTCCCTAGATTATGTTCACAGAGTTTCATGCAGATCGGTCAAACTTCCTAGGAAGAGATCGATTTTAAGTGTTTTTCAAAAAATTCAAAATGGCAGAAAATCTATATAACCGGAAGTTATGGGTTGTTAGGCACATTTGTTCCTCATGAGAAGAGGCATCTCTGTGCAAAGTTTCATGTCTCTACGACTTACGGGGCATGAAATATGCCCATTCAAAGTTTGCAATTTCAGTCGGTTGCTATAGCGCCCCCTTTGGCCAACTGATGTAATATTGCTTCATTCACATCCTCCCATGATCCTCTACCACTGTGCCAAATTTCACATGGATTAACCAAGTCAGTGAGGAGAAAAATGTGGAACAGACACACAGTTTTCATCATTATATAGTAAGATAAAAGCAGTATAATTAGACACCAAATGTTTTTTTTTTTTTTTTTTTACATTTGATATACATATAAATGTAAATGTGTAATCATTTGTCAGTATGTAGATGCTACACATAATTAGCTCAGTTCATTTCTTTTTACTGAAACCATGAGCACCAGAGAAGAATAGAATTCATCAAAATTCATTTACCAGCATGACGAAAAAATAAGTGGTGACTCTTCCTCTGAAGCGGTCATAAAGTCAGAATATGTGTCAGTTCCTCGATTACCCTGTAAGTTATTCATATTCCTTTAGTCCATAAAGGTCCTCAGATTTAAACAGTCAAAAGTGTTTTTCATAAAATTTGATCCAAGTTATAAATATTGTTTTAAAAGGATGAAGTGGTGCTGTGTCTGTATGCCCGGGGCTGTTATCCTCAGGTGCCGTAAAACAAGTGTCACAACAGAGCACATAATTGACATAGTATTTGAAGCCTAATTTTTATACAAGTAATATTCATACTTTCTCCCATCTTTGCTGAGCAACAGTTTTGTGTGAGAGGAATTAAAGGCCTGTCCCATATAGACAACAGTTAAGTGAATTAAGCAAATAATAGCCCGGGCTACTAACTGAAGTTTAACAGTACGAGTCATCAGAAAAGCGCAAGTGACCCTTGATCATTATTGAAACACAACGGTGAGATCTGGCTCTAAATATTTAAATATATTTAATTCTTTTCTTTGGGCCCTCTGCAGTCTGCTCAGCGGTTAGAGTGAATAGTTTTAAACTGTAATTTGTCAGTCCACAATATGTTCATCTGATATTCTGATAGACCTACTGTATAAAACCTTCCATTACTGTTGTGAAGTTAAAGAATATCTTTTTGCTAAAGCTAAAGCTTGTTGTATTATTGTGTACTTGACACTGGAACAGGAACATGTTCCTAAATAAATCTGCACAAATTTTGATGCTAAGTGTCCAGTTTCTTTTACCAGTGACTGCAGAGTTTTTCTATTCTCATTGGACTGTTGCTCAGAGGGATCAGTCTGGTTGAACCACTGAACTGCGTTTTGTACTCCATGTACAGAACTAGGGCTGGGCAATGTATGAATGTATAAATACCCTAACATGACACTAGATATCCTCTTGGAATTCGCATAAAAGCATTTGACAACATCACCTTTAACTGTCGGAAAAATATTGGGCATTTTTGATTATTTTTATAGAGCAAATGCTTGATTGAGAAAACAATCTATAGATTAATCAATAATGAAAATAATCACATAAAATGTATGAACAGTTATATTGTCATTCCAGAGCCTCCCTTACAAAGGCAGTATACTCAAAGGACTGAGCCCCGGACAGCACATCACAATCAAAGGACAGGTCAACATGTATCCCCACAGGTAAAGTGATGAGTCATTACATTTACCTCCACATAACAAATGACAGCAATCTGATGTTTGACACTCTTCCCTCTGCTAACTGCAACATTTCTTATAAACACAAAAAAAGATTTACCTTAAATCCACGCTTCCTCCAGCTTTACAGTGAACCTCCGCAACAGCAGGACAGAGAACATCGCTCTCCATCTGAACCCTCGCATGAAGTCCGGTTTGTTCATCAGGAACTCGTACCTGAGTGAATCCTGGGGTCAGGAGGAGCGGGAGCTGCCCTTCTTTCCCTTCTCGTCAGGGGAGTACTTTGAGGTAGGAGCTGCCTACAACCTGTAAGGTTTACTTTAAAGGGCTTCTGCTGTCTGCTAGAGTTGGGTCGACATCTGGGTTTGCTGGTCCGGTCTGGTGTACGATCCTAAACCGGTTTGATTGATTCAAACAGGATGAAACGACACTTGTCATTAGACATCATAAGTGCTATATCGTAGGCAACTGGACTTGCTTGAGGTTTTTTTTTGCCTATGATATAGGACTTATGATTACCATGACCTGGATGACTGAGAATCTTCACCGACTTGTCATGCGATGAAAAGGTAGCCTCCATCGGCAGCGTGTGCTGATGGTATCACGGTGCTAAATCCACCTTATGCTGCATTAGTAATAAGCAATATGACATTACGATGAACATAATATTATGTTTATGACGGACTAAAAGAGACAACAGTGTCTGACAGGCTGTGAGCCGAGCAAGGCAACATGAAGGAGATCTAATTTCAGCAAAGATTGTAGGGCCGTATCTGTGCACACCTTGTTTGTTTACTAGAAAGTTCATGTGTTTTTTGGGGTGACGAGAGGAGACATGGTAGAGTCGGATGCTCTGTTTATATTTCTATTTCTGTCGCTAGCTTTGAAAATTCCACAATGGACTAAGAGTGACTGATTCATGAAGGTGAAACGAAGAATTATCCACACAGTACCTCCTTATTTCACTACAAAAACCAACATAGGTGTCAGCTGGCTCGAGGGAGTCCAACAGGGAGCTGAAAGTTTCTGGTGAGGCAAAGGACTATCGCTAATGACAAGCTCAGCTACTTGCTGTTGACTATATTGTATGTCATTTACAGCAATTGTCGCAATATAAAGTGGTTTTCTGTTCATAAAGTAACGTTACTTACATAGGAAGCGACATATCCAGTCCAATCTGGAGTGCAAACGTAATAGTTTGACGCTCATTTGCTGCTAGGACACGGAATCACCATGTTCCACTTTAGAGCAACTGCGGAGTCAAATGCGTAAAATTCAGTATACCGGTCTGGTCCGGCACATGATATCAAACCAGTTTGAAAACTTTCCAAGTTGATCATTATTTCCCAGTGTCCGTAATGACTGACTATTCCTCAGTGTTCTGTTTTGTCAGATTCTCATCCTGTGTCAGCCTCATCAGTTCAAGCTGGCAGTGAATGGCTCACATCTGTTTGAGTTCAGACATCGGGTGCAAGACCTGAGCAGCATTGACCAGTTGGAGATTATGGGGGACCTGGAGCTCAATGACGTGAAACTGTGGTGACCTGGGACTGTCAACTTACACGGAAACCAGCGTTACAGACACTGTTGTGTTCTGGTTATCGATGCTAAATTAGCTTACCCACGCTGACCCAGACAATGGATGCTGAAAACGGCAAACTGCGCTGAGGTCAGGTCTGGTTAGTCTTGCAGCAACCACAGGTCACTGATTTTAAGCTAGTTTAGCATTTTTGGTGACTAAGGACCATGGACAGGCCCTGCCATGGAGTATTAATGGTCCATGTTTCCAGCTCTGGTTAGACAAGTGATGCATGAGTGTAGGCTGTGCTGGAGCATCAGGCTGTGAGCCACCATGACTGTTTACAGCTACAAGTTAGGTTTGCCTTGGTTCATTTCTTCTACTGTCTCTAGTGCATCTCTGCTGTGATGCGCCCTTAGTGCACTGTATAAATAAAACAGGAAATATGTGTAAATCTTAAAAAGCACTTGGCTTTGTTTGAACGCCAAGACAGTCAGCAAATACAAACAGTGGCTCAAACTGAAGGGCTCCAGTATTTTGGAGCAAGGCCCAATAACGACTAATTTATTGTACAGCTAATTTAAAAAGCTTTGAAACATTTCTCATCATTACTAAATAATTAGTACTATTTTTTAATTAAAACATTTAATGTGGGTTCAAAATTATTTTCATTTGCAATTTTTTTTAAAATTATTTTTCACTTTTTAATTTAATTTAATTTAATAGGATATGCCTACTTTTTAGTTTATAAATTCAGTCTGCTATAAGGTCGTAATCCTCAAGATTCTTTAACACATGACAGCGTCCCATGCACTTGACATTTCCATTAACTTAACATGTAATGGTGCAGCAGAACTCAAGCACAGTGCAGTACAGGGTCTGTTTAAAATATTAACTATTTCAATAACCTAACGAATGACATTTTGCAATCTTTATGCAAGCTGTAGAATATAGTAGAATCCTGCATCTGTGACCATCTCTTGTCTCAATGCTCTCCCACTCAGTGCTGCAAGAAAAAAAAATCTGGAATATTTCTTTTCCAATGTCAATGTTTTTTTTTTGCATTGTCTGTTGTAATTGTTGTAAAATACGTATGAAAAATCCTCCCTATGTATCATAAATGATTTAATAACAAATAAATGTGTTACTATTATCATTGTGCATCAACTGCATTAGTATATTTTTGGCCACTAGAGGGCAGCGTAACAGGTTGTAAATAAAACAGTGAGATAGCCTCACATTAACATTTATAGGCTTAATGTGTTGGTAAGAAGTGGCTAGTTTACATATCCAGCAGACGACAAGCAATCTTAGCATTCATTTGGTGTCATGTCAGTGTCTTTCTGATGAATGTGAGTCTAATATTCACTGTCCTATCTATTTTGCCCTCCAGCGACTCCAGAGACAAAACTATTGGGTCTTTAGCTAAATGCTATACTTTCTGCTCCAGCTAACTTTGCTAACTTTGTGGGAAAAAACCCCCAACACAAACAAAAACAAACAAACAAACAATAAAAATGTAATCAGCTGTTAAACGGAAAACTACTGAAGCCGAGAATGGCAATGCTAGCAATTTTTTTTGAAACGCTGTTATCTCGAGAAGTTAATTATCAAGAAAACTGAGACTACGAGAAAACAAAAGGTAATTTCCTGTTATTACTTATGTATATCAGAGATCAGGATCGCCATGTCAGCATGCATCTTAACAACTGTAGCAACCTATTTGACAAAACTACATATTTCTGCCTAAAGTTACTGTTAATTTATGAATCCTCCCTAACAAGGACGTAGGTTTTGTTTCAACACTGGGGGGAACACATGAAACAGGGTTTATGGTCCTTAACCAGAATGAGTGTCAAACAAATTTCCTTCATTCTTGTGAATTCTACTGCATCAATTTACAGTGGTAATGTCTTACTTCATAAAAATAAAAGTCCTCTGCTACTGTAGGGATATGTCTTCTGCATCCCCCCTGAAATCTACACCTATGTTCCCAAACAGCCATGACAGTGATCTTGAATACGAAGATCAGGTGTGATCAAATGAATCACTCATTTTTGAGTTCTCTATAATTATCCAATGATCTCAAGAAAACTATTTGTTTCCTTATGATAAATTATTTTGAGAAATTGGCCTCTTCAGACTGGCACAAATTAACACCCTTTACCATGAGGAACAAAGTTTTCATGGGATGCTTAAATAATTAACTCGTGGTCTTGAGATTATGGCATTAAAAAAATAACTGCAAGCATGGCCATTCTCGGCTTCCATATAAAACAGCTGCCTACTGCATCTGGAGACACAGCTGATAAGAAGAGACAGGATGAACCAACACAGTAAAGTTACAGGCAAGAAAAATCCATGAGCTAAAAAATGCTGTGTAGAGCTGAAGGAAACGACAGTCTTACTCGATCTCTGCAAGTTCTTGTCTAGAACATCGCTTTAACATTACATGTAGTCATTCTATCTGTTTTTAATAAAGGAATATTGGTTATTGTATATATATATATTATATATATTGGGGGGGGGGGGGGGGGGACGAGAGGGAGAACGACTAGTCAACTGCAGTACTCCTACTGAACCACAAGGTGGCAGAAGACAATTAAATGTTTATTACCAGCACCTTCTCATACATCTTCACCGACCACTGTCAGTGAACTCTAGATCTTTTTCCTTTAAGGCACCTACAAATCAGTTTTATTAAATATTACTGTAAACTAAGTCCTTGTTTTAGTCTGCATCTCTCACCAAAGGTTGGTGCTTGAGGTCTTACCAGGACTTCTGTAAAGATGAATGGGAAACTTAATGACCTAGAGTGAGTCTTCATAAATGTTGAGCAACATCCAGACATGCTTGTTTTTAATGTCATTTACGCCTAATGACTACAGGCCTCAGTCACAAGATGAACTTTAAAGGAAATGTTATCGCCACATGACTCTCATGTTAGCACACATTATGCCCTCTAAACCTCAATATTAATGGAATCGTATCTGATAAAAAGTTGTTGTTTTATTAATATCCACAGGAAATATAATAATTTGTAAGATTTGTAATAACCATGGAACAGTACAACAGTCTCTTTTTTTTTTTAACATAGAAAAAGCAGGATGATATGCAACATGACATCAACCATTGCACTGCTGAGAATGTCCAAGAAAAAAAGGCAAAAGACACTGTCCAATCAGCAACAGGCAAATAGGCTAAAGTTTGTTTTACAAAAAAAAAAAACTGTCAGACCTGTGATCCATTGACAGAGATTCATAATTTTGACCAAAAATGTCATGTGCTGTCAAAACAAGTCTTCTATTTTTGCTTGACATGGCCAACAGACATACGCCACTTTGAAAAACAAACCCTCCTGTCCAGTTTCCAGAAACTAACGGATTATGCTTCCCTTCAAGTAAAAAAAAACAAAAAACAAAAAACAGAGAAGCGTATGTCTGAGTTGTCACAGAGGCCACCACGCTAGAAAACATCTTTCCTGTTCCAGCGAAGGGGTTTGGCAAGATGTTGGCTGAGGACAACTGGTTTCACTTCGGTTCAGTTTTATTCCACCCAGTTTCTAGCAGCTGAATTTAAACCACAGCCTTTTTCAGTTCTCACGTCCCACTGAGGAGAGAAAGGAAAACTACTTCAGGGTGAGAGCGAGCTGGTCCAAACGTGGCACAAGAGAGTTTCATGGGTTGGATGCATGTTTTCAGGAGGGAGGAGGTGGGTATATATCCCATTGTCACACAGAGCTGAGCTTTACCAATCCTCTGACAGAGTCCTCGTGTAGTGAGTCCTGGCTGGCTGGGTTGTAGAAGCCGGCCTGCATAGTGTGGCTGTGACCCAGGGGGCTGCCGCAGGGGAGCATACCTGGCGGCGACGGCACTTCCTCTGGTGTGAGAAAGTGGTGGTGGGCCACCGGCTCCTGGAGGGGGTGGCTGTGGTTGTGTGTGTGGCTGTGTCCGTGGATTGGCAGCATGTCCGTGGTCTCGTGGCAGCTGAGGCTAGGGGTGGACGTCGGAGGGGTGGGCTGGCCGAGGGGGAGTGAGGTGCATGGGCCGCCCAGGGTGAGGGAGGTGCGGCCGGGCAGAGAGCCTCCGTTTTCAGGTGAGGCCGTCAGGATGACTGGCTCGCTGCTCTGCTGCTGGAGGAGGGGTGTGGCGGCGGCCTGTAAAACGAATTTGGTGCTCTGAATGCACTGGTCTTGGTCACACTGAGAGAAAGCAGCGGAAAGCAGGAGAAGAAAAGGAATAAAGGAGGAGATGTGAAAGTCAAGAGGGATAGATAAGATGCCAGAGTTGAAGGATGGAAATAGAAAAATAAATAACAGTGAGGCAAGTGTTGAAAATTAGATGAAGGAGGGAAGAAGAAACAACACACAGGATACGTGGAAAGACAACAGAGGAGGGGGCAGGTGATTGGATAAGGGAGAGAGAGAGAAAAAGATGTTAGTACCCTTGTTAGAACGCAGAGCCACACAAAGAACCTGCACCAGCTCGTGCATCCGCCCCAGTAAAAACAGTGCTGAGGTCAGCGGACAGAGATGAAAACACAGGACTATTAAGTCACTGCCTCATGACCTATTGATCTTTATTGCCTTTCTTTAGAGTGGAAATCACACGTCTGAAAGTGGAGCAGAGTAACTGGGTTAGGACACAGAGCATAATCAATAGCACACATTAGCTTCAGGGAGATTAGCTTTAACCCTGTTAACCCTTAATCACCACAGAGCAATCCTATAAATTAGAGACCAGTGGAAGATGAAAGATTCTCTGGTTGAAAAGGAGTTAAAAAGCCATACAAATAAGCACTTTGATGCCTCCATCCATCCCGCACCACTCCCAAAGTCTGACTGACAAGGAATTTGATGCACAAAGATTCGTCCCGGATATCTCACCTTTCTGTCTCAATCTCACTGACCTAAAAGGAGCAGATTACACATGTGATTTAAACAGAAGTTGAGCTACCTTTGACAGCACAAGAGATGTGATTCCAAGCATTATCAATCCTCTTATCAGAAGCACGTATCAACTGCTCTTGACTTATCACCTTTACGAGCTTGGCCTCTCTCCAGGTGGTTGAGAGGGCCAATTTGAGCGAGGGTTATTGGACTGAAATGACACAGAAACTTCTCTCGCAGCCGTGTTAGCGCAGCAGAGCTACATCATCAGCCTTGAATAGAAAATCAAATAAAGAGGGGGGAAAAATGAAACAGCGCTTTGTCCCTTTCTTTCTACTTTCAGGCCTGTTTTATAAACAGTCATAGCTAGACTGACTCAGCACTGTCCATCCCCCACGGCAGACAGACACACACACGCACGCAGAACTACAAGGAACAATGTGTACATAGACTGCTGATAGACTAACCTTGGATAGCAGACAGCAAGTGAAGCAGCACAGGCCATGTTTTGGTTGTTTTTTCATGCGTGGCAGTGATAAAACAAAATAAGAGAGCATTTTCTTACATCAAAAAGCTGAGCTGTGTACATTAGTCAACATGACACAGACAGATTGTATCACTCTAGTGGTGGAGAGTAATTTCATTGCATTCATTCATTTTCTGTAATCGCTTATCCTGTTAGGGGTCGCGGGGGGGAGCTGGAGCCTATCCCAGCTGACATGCCGTAAGAGGTGGGATACACCCTGAACATGTCGCCGGGCTAACACATAGAGACAGACAACCATTTACACTCACATTCACATCTATGGGCAATTTAGAGTCATCAATTATCCTGCATGTCTCTGGACTGTGGGAGGAAGCCGGAGTACCCAGAGAAAAAAAGAACAGAAAGAAAAAATGGCAATGCAAAGCTGAAATGATTACTCCATTAACTTAGTAGATCCATAGAAAAATGAGAAAAATGCTTTAAGAGTGCAGATTTCCACCAGCCGGCAACCTGGTCTGATCATGGCGACTCAAGACAATTCTGTTACTGCAGATGCAAGCGCAGCACACTTCAGAAGCATCCCAGAAGCTAACATAAATATACGCCGTATCTATTTTTGATGGAGCTGCAGCGTGTTGCACAGAGCAGAGTGAGTTCTCATACTAACACCTGTCATAATGAGGAAGAACGTATCTTCATAACTTAAACACAGCACAAATCTTTGCTCCATGTGATCCACTTAATTGTTCGATCCATTCATGACTGGACTGTATATGGTATTAACTTTGGGACAAAACCCAGTCCCAGCCACGACTACCGCTGTGGTGTTGCCAGTAGAACTGTCCCTCCCGACTCCCTCAGAGTTACGATGGCAGCAATGCATCATAACATATCAGGTATGGAATTAATCTGCAGATGTTCCAATTAAAAAGGAGACTAAACTTTTCTATGGATGTCAGTTTTTGAGACTTGACAAAGGACAAAATGTTTTCTGCAACAGACGGAAAGGCTTTTTGTTTTTTGCCGACCTGATTTCCAGAAGTCT